ATTTGTTTACAAATGTGACCCTGAGTAATCCTGGTGTGAACATACAATTGGTGCACATTAGGGATATGCATGTGCAACAGAATAACTTTGGTACACTTCAGGTGCACCGCAGGGTCACTGTGTAGAATTACAGACATATTCCCAGTTTGCACCAATTGCCCTACTTGGAAATCTAAAACAGTGGGGTCTTGGCTGAAAAATGCCCCAGTTCACAAACTTTTCAGCTAACAAACCATGCATGACTCAGCTTAGAAACTTCAACTTCTCCAAATGCTCATAGGTCTAAAAATCTTTTTTTAAATAGCAAAATCTAGGGATTCATGTTTAAAATTATTCATCTAAGAATGTCTCAAAAGTTCAGTGAACAATTCTTGATCACCAATTAAAAAAAAAATTGTAATTGGGTTAAAATTCAACAGCTTTTTAGCATTAACATTTTTCACCCTAAGTCCTTGATGTGAATACCTTTGTGGTGTTGCATTTACAATTTTCAAGAAGAAACCTCTTCACTTCTATGGATTGTTTTACTGTAGTGAGTTTCTTTTATATTGCCCAGGGAAGATTTAATGGATTTCAGGCCTGAAGGATGCATTTTCTTGAATTTCATGGGCACTTTCAATGTTCTGGAAGAATTTAAATTATTTTTATGCTTTTGTAAGGAAAAGTGTGATTTGGCTAACAAACTTTGTTCAGGAACCAATTAGGTTTATATGCCAAGACCTCAATGTAATCAAATAAAGCAGCATTTTCATGGCTATAAAGGTAACATTAGAGATTCTAAATAAGCATGAAATTCATAAATCAACCTTAGCATATTTTATCCTCAGTTGCAGTACCACATTAAGATATTTCTACCAGATTTTAGGTGAGATTTAGGAATCAATTTCTTTCATTCTTTCTTGTGCAGAAAGTAATGGAATCCCTGCCAAATTTTTGCAACTACAAGATTTTGAATGCATGGACAAAATAATACTCATGCAGATGAAAACGAATTCTGAGCTTTAGAAGCTATTCAAAGCTGCGTAAAAGAAAGAAAATCTCCACACATGAATTCACCTCGAAGAAAATAAACGCCAAAAAATTCACCGTACGCAATTTTATTTGCGAAAAATCTCAAGGACCGAAGAAGTCAAAATATGGCAACAGATTCTGAACTCCGTCCTCAAATTTCTCTCATCATCGCTTTCCAAACAACTGCGTGCACATAATCATATGCCCATCCCGCGAGAAAAAACAAAACATTTCCCGATTAAACTCATCCCCTCTATTTTCTTTTAAATAAAAAAAAATTTCTTCTCTCTCCCGCAATATGTATACAAATTTTTGTGCACCCTATTTTCTTTCATTTCGTGTGTGTAGGGAAACGGAGATACAAAATAAGTCTTAAATAACCGCTCCCACGCGCTCGAAAATGCAATTTTTGTTTCTTTTTTCTTTTCTTGTTGCAAAAAAAAAAAAATGTACACCACGATTTTCCTCAAGCAGAGAAACTCGTCTTCGCATTTCACGGGAAAAGTATTAGTTCCGGACTAAACTGCTCGAGTCTTTCCTTTTTTTTCCGCACAGGGCAACATTCCATGGACGTCACATTCTTAGAAGAAAAAATATACACACACTTCATAGATCGAGAAAAAAAAAGCTTGTCAATATAAAAGTTTCCGAAGCGAGGAAACTTTTTGCAGATGCTCCACACACACACCCAAAATTTTGACCATATTTGAGAAAATGAAGAGAAATGTTTTAAAATGTTCTAAGAAGATATCGTCAAAAAAGAAGGAAGCTAAATTATCTTCAGTTTTCGATTGAATAGAAAAAAACAGTCGAGAAGAATTCGCGCATTTTCAAAGTCTAAGCCGAGGAAATCATGACACCTTTTTTTTTCCTTGCTATAAATTTATCCTTCGTAGTCTTGCATTGAAAGAAGGACAAATATTGCAAATTGAAAATATTTTTAACCTCCTCCTGAGAAAAATCAGTTCCATATCATGATTCCAACAGGAACGCGAGATTAAATGTCAATATTTTTCTCAACAAATTCTAAATTGCACATATGTTCCTGACTCCACCCAACAATTTTCAGACTTTCTGGTCATGAATTGTTGATATTAAAAAAAAAATTGGGATACATCTGCTAAACAAATGTTTCCAACAGTTGCTAAAACCATGACATGGGTTGAAATAATTAATTTTCTTCCAATGCATCATCGAATTTTTATTCAAATAAAGTGAGTAACTTGGAAATGTCTGGCAGAACACATTTTGAAAATAAATTGAGGCGACATCTAGCAGAAAAATACTTCAACAGTGCAAAGTACTCAGAAATTTAGATGACAGTATTGACTTTCAGGATTAAAAAGTAACCTTATTCTAAACCAAGCTTTTTCAAGAAACCATAGATGAAAAATTTTCAAAGTAGCAAAAGGATAAGCATAAAATTTGCCTGATGGAATAGACTCATAGTAGGGAAAAAAGGAATATAAAAGTGCACAGATTTTTGACTGCATTGAAGCGACATCTATTTGAATATGAAACCTTCCTCTCTTAGTTCAATGGCAGAGAAATCAACACAATTCTTGCACACACAAGAGGAAAGCATTTTGATTTCTTCAAGGATAAATTATGCTTGTAATAGACATTCTTTCAGAAGCTGCTGAACTGCAGCGAAATATCATTTCCAACTTTTCAGAAAAAAAAGTCAAACATGGAACCACGGTTTCACACATTTTTGGGGGAAAAAAAGGGCGAAACATACCACAAGAAGCATAAAATTCGCGTAAGTTTTCTTGAGGTTAAATGGCTCAGTTTTGGTAAAAAAAAAATGAATATTGCAGCGACATCTACCTCCACTCAATCAAAGAGTAAACAGACCAATCAAGATGACTCATTCCATGGATGGAGAGGAGGTGGGGGAAAGAACCCGAATTTTTGATTTTGACTCTCTTGTCATACTTTTTATCAATAAGGAGCATCAGAAAAGACTAGAAAAAGTTGAATGATGATGAACTCAGTCCAAGTATAGAAAAATTGATTGCAGTGACATCTATGCGAACAAATATNCAATTTTCAGACTTTCTGGTCATGAATTGTTGATATTAAAAAAAAAATTGGGATACATCTGCTAAACAAATGTTTCCAACAGTTGCTAAAACCATGACATGGGTTGAAATAATTAATTTTCTTCCAATGCATCATCGAATTTTTATTCAAATAAAGTGAGTAACTTGGAAATGTCTGGCAGAACACATTTTGAAAATAAATTGAGGCGACATCTAGCAGAAAAATACTTCAACAGTGCAAAGTACTCAGAAATTTAGATGACAGTATTGACTTTCAGGATTAAAAAGTAACCTTATTCTAAACCAAGCTTTTTCAAGAAACCATAGATGAAAAATTTTCAAAGTAGCAAAAGGATAAGCATAAAATTTGCCTGATGGAATAGACTCATAGTAGGGAAAAAAGGAATATAAAAGTGCACAGATTTTTGACTGCATTGAAGCGACATCTATTTGAATATGAAACCTTCCTCTCTTAGTTCAATGGCAGAGAAATCAACACAATTCTTGCACACACAAGAGGAAAGCATTTTGATTTCTTCAAGGATAAATTATGCTTGTAATAGACATTCTTTCAGAAGCTGCTGAACTGCAGCGAAATATCATTTCCAACTTTTCAGAAAAAAAAGTCAAACATGGAACCACGGTTTCACACATTTTTGGGGGAAAAAAAGGGCGAAACATACCACAAGAAGCATAAAATTCGCGTAAGTTTTCTTGAGGTTAAATGGCTCAGTTTTGGTAAAAAAAAAATGAATATTGCAGCGACATCTACCTCCACTCAATCAAAGAGTAAACAGACCAATCAAGATGACTCATTCCATGGATGGAGAGGAGGTGGGGGAAAGAACCCGAATTTTTGATTTTGACTCTCTTGTCATACTTTTTATCAATAAGGAGCATCAGAAAAGACTAGAAAAAGTTGAATGATGATGAACTCAGTCCAAGTATAGAAAAATTGATTGCAGTGACATCTATGCGAACAAATATCACTTGCTAGTAACACTAAAAGAAACAAGATGAGGTTGGGTTGAAAGAACCTGATTTTTGATTTCGTTTCTTCCGAATGCTGGAGGGAAAAACTGCTGATCGTCGTTACAAGGACTTATTTGGAAGTCTTTAAAGAGTGTTCTAACGACATCATCCCGCAACGTTTCGATTCCGTCGAATTCCGAATTAATAGATGTCGCTTCAGTCCTGCAAGTCAGCATCCTCATCGTGCCCAGTCACCTTCTTACTCTCAGCAGCAGCAGCAATGCCTACACTTTCCGACAGGTCCTGCACTCGGCTGTCGACGGTCGTCGGCACACTACTGTCGTCATTCTCACCTGCCGCCACTTCCGCCGCCTCTCCCAACTCCACGTCCACCGCCTCCGTCGTTGCAGCAGCAGCAGCAGCATCAGGCGAGCCTCGCAATTGGGCCTCGAGTTGGAGTTGCCTTTCCCGCTTGGCCTTCTTCTCTCGCTTGGCCTTGTCACGCCCGGGTTCGGGGGTCTTGGTGAACGTGTACCGACCGGAACTCTTGGACAACCGCTCTTCGATCTGCTCCAGCGTGCGACCCTTTGTTTCGGGAACGAGGAGGAAGACGAAAGATGTCGCCACTAGGCAGTTGGAGCCGAAGAGCCAGAAGGCGCCGTGGATGCCCAGTCCATCAATCATGCCCTATATATACAGTATAGAGAACATAAACAAGCATCAGTATACAAAAAGTCGAACCATTTTCAATAAGGGACCGGCGAAAATAATTCGAGTAAAGGGAATTATTATACTGTACGCACAGGGTTCAGATGAGGGGTATACACATCAGTACAACGAATTGTGGCTGTGAGACACATAGCAAAACAGCACTGACCTGGAAGTTTTTGGTGACAATGAAAGTGCAGGCCCAGTTGAAAGCCGCCGTGACGCTGGCTGCCAAACTGCGGATCCGGGACGGGAAAATCTCGCCCAACATGAGCCAGGGCACCGGCCCGAACCCGAAGCTGAAGGCGACCACGAAGACCACAAACGCCACCAGAGGGAGCCACCCAAACACCCGCAAAGTCTCTTCCGTCTCTGGGGAAGCATGAGCCTACATATAAGCAGCAAAAATAAGAAAACAAACATCAATATAAACCTGCATTATTAAAAGAAAAGGCCACCATTTCATGCATCTCAAATCTATAGATGTTGCCCAAAAAATTTTGCTGTCACATTCAATATTCATGCACGGTTTCCGCAAAGACTATAGATTTTTGGAATGTTAGAACATGTAAACCATATTTACTCAAGTACCACACACACCTTTTTTCTCAAATTTCAGAAGAAAAAAAGGGGTGCACGTCATAAGCGGGTACAAAATTTTCAAGAAGTTTTAGGAAGTTGTGTGTTAATTATACTTGATTATAATGGAGAAATTTGTGACAAATGTACCAAGAAAACTTTTTTTTACTGAAAAATTTGAAAATTGATCAGATTCATGTTCAATTCACATCAAAAGTCAAAATTTTGTTTTCATTTTCGAAATTTTGTGGGTTTAGAGTCCCTAAAAATGGGGTGCGCGTATTACTGGGGGATAAAATTTTAGCCAAATTTTGAACTGAAAAACCCCTGTGCGTGCCTTACTAGAGGGCACGCGGTACTCAAGTAAATACAGTCCAGTACTGTATATACAAGCTGCTTCAATTCTGGCTTATGCTGCAATTCTGGTTACTGATATTTTGTTTGCAATTAACTAAGACAAAAATAAAAGAAAATACAATCCACAAAATATAACTGGACATCTGACATGTATGCATTCACCCATTCCTTCCCTGACATTGAAAACAACATATCAGTAACAGTTAATTTAAAGCATGAAGTCTTCAGCTTATTTCTGGATGAGGTTTAGTTCAATGAACAATTCAGAGAGAATCTTTGATGAGAAATCATATAAGGCCAACAGTTTATCTTGATCCTTCAAGATTCAGAAAGGGTCTCTTCATTGAATTCCAATATTGTAAATCTTTCTTGAGCTCATTTCTATTGCTATGGAATCCTGGACATAAGAAGAGAAGGTGCTCTGGTGATGCACAAACTAATGTATTCATGCTGCAGGAGTTACACCATTTAGACACCTTTGAAAATTGGATGAATTCATTTACTGAAGTGCAATGAATTTGTCAAAAGAGCTACAATATCATATGTTAAGGGGATGTGTTAGATGATGCAAATATTAATGGTTTAGTATTGCCACAAGCAAGATCAGCTAGCAATTTAATTGAGTCTACAACATTAAAATGATCATGACAAAATTGAGTAATTACAAACTTATTTTTTAACATTTTGCGCATTGAAATGAGAGCGCAGTAGCAGTAGCATATATTTTACCTTGATGTAGAAGTAGGTTCCCAGAGCCATGAGAGCCGCAGTCATGCCCAGGCCGGAAATGTACAAGAGCAACTTCCGACCCCATCGATCCACGACGGCATTCGACAGCAACGTGGCGCCGATGTTCACAGAGCCCACGATGATGGTCGACAAATCCTTGTCGACCGTGGATCCCGCTGCTTCGAAAATCTATAATACGAATCAAGACAAACATCAACCACAAAATGAGAGATAATGAATCAACAAATAAAAAATAACGAGAAAACATTTGATGGGAAGACGAAGTCCTTGCTGCTGCTGATGATGATAAATTAATGCGGTGCACGGAGAATAAAGCTTGGCATATCTTATACCGGGGGTCTTGGAAACCCCCCCCCCCCCCCCAACCCCCAGCAGAGTTGATTTCGTGAACCGATTGAAAGTGTGTACAGTATATGTATTGCAATGTAGAGGGATAATAAAACCCCCCTTCTTCATGGTATTGATCCAACCCCGGTGGCACAAGGACCCCAAGGTGTAGTACATACACAGTTGGCGGGGACATTGAACCAGCTTTTTCACTTGCGGAAATTCCTAGAAACCTTGACTTTTTTATTTTATTCCTTCCACCATGCGTCACTTGAACAGGGAGAGTTTCAAAATTCTTTTCAATAACATAGCACTGACGCCAGCTTTTTCACTTGCGGAAATTCTTAAAAACCTTGCACTTTTTTTTTTTTTAATTTCTTCCACCATGCGTCACTTGAACTGGGAGAGTTTCAAAAGTTTTTGCAATAACGTCCGAATTTTGGGCACGACTATATTGCACAGTATTTCTTGGATAAAGATGCTTGCTGCAGTCTTCAGTGCAAAAATTTTCAAAGTTGAATAATCACAACAGTTAAAATTATCAATTCATACTCAAATAAAAGTAAAATTCAATTTGCTTCTGTTTTAAAATTTATCCACGATTTTATTCCAGAATAACGTGAAGTCAGAAAATTTGCAATAAAAGTTTGCACTTGAGGATTATGATACACACACAACTTTTTGGTCCTGATTAATTTTGGTAAAAAGTGTACTTGTGTCTTGAGTAAATGCTGTTTTGATTATTCTTGGACAGGTTTTCAACCCAACAAAAGGAACCCATCTGTAAGGTTTTACCAGTAAGAATTAGATTAATCAAGCCTTACACCTTGATTGCGGCCTTTTAACAGAGTTTTCAAGAGTTAGAGTTTTCAAGATAGAGAAAAAATGAATCAGAACACGGCAATTGGCCGGGCTCAAACCGACCGGGATTTCTCCCTACTAGCGCAGACCTTTCTTTGATACACACACACACACACACACTTCTTTGTAAAATTATACACACGGTTTGCACAAAATACAAGGTATACACACTCAGATGTACAAGATTTGCAACAATGAACAATATTCGGCCTCGTAGGATTTCAAGTAGTCCAGAAGTGGACTTGATTTCCTTTACAATTAGAATTTCGTAACTGGGTCACGTCCCGATTTTAACAAGGTATTCACACACGGCGTTGAGAAGATAAATTAAGAAAACGA